ATCCCAATTTATACCTGGTCAGTCAGAAAAACAGGTAAAACAACCTGAGGCTTTTGATGGGCAGCAGAAGTGGGGGTTAGTCTTGTGAGACTGAAGCCTCAACCTGTGGGGTCTGAATGCTGTCTCTATTGGAATTGAACTGGAGGATACCCAGCTGGTGACTACTGCAGAAATTGATTGCTTACTTGATATAGAGGGTGAAAATCCCCACACATTTGGTCGCAGAAGTCTTCCTTTTTTTTTTTTTTTTTTTGAGACGGAGTCTCACGCTGTTGCCCAGGCTGGAGTGCAGTGGCGCGATCTCGGCTCACTGCAAGCTCCGCCTCCCGGGTTCCCGCCATTCTCCTGCCTCAGCCTCCTGAGTAGCTGGGACTACAGGCGCCCGCCACCGCGCCCGGCTAATTTTTTGTATTTTTAGTAGAGACGGGGTTTCACTGTGGTCTCGATCTCCTGACCTTGTGATCCGCCCGCCTCGGCCTCCCAAAGTGCTGGGATTACAGGCTTGAGCCACCGCGCCCGGCCGGTCGCAGAAGTCTTCTGTGTTGATTATTAAGTAAGGGTATAGGAGAAACTGAGTTTCGTTTTTTCCCTGTATCCTCAGCCCTTGCCACCTCACATGTCTGTACAGGAGTTGTAAGGCGCAGCCACAACCAATCAATAAAGAAGAACTGGAGGTTTACTGTTAAGGTTTCTGTGATCAGAAGTGTGGTCCCTGGATCAATAGCATCAGAATCACCTAAGGACTTATACATGTAAATTCTCAGGCCCCACCCCAGACCTATGGAATCAGCCACTCTGGAGGTGGGACCCAGCAATCTGTGTTTTGAAAAGTCTCACGGAGATTTGGTGCATACTGAAGGCTGGGAATCCCTGGCCTTGCTAATGTGAGAAACCTCTGTCCTCAGGAGGACAGGGCTGAAATTATGCATATCTGTGCTGGTTTTGGCTGCAAGCATTGAAGCTAGAGGATCTGAAGGAGAGTCTGGGATCTTTCACTGGGCAAATTGCTGGTCTTGCCACAAACGTCATGGATTCAGATGGCTTTAAAACCAAAGGTGGAAAGTTGCTTATTGTGTTTGCAGAGCTTTGGTTCTGAAAAGGAATTGAGAAATGGTCTGATTTCTACATTTTTAAAGAAGAGAAAAAGACATTCAGCAAGGTGAAGTGATTTGATGCGGACTCATCATCAGACATAATCTGTACTGAAGTCAGCTATCAGTTTTAAATCACACTGTTGTCTACCAAGCAAAAAATCATAATGGGAGTCTTTCACATTTTTTTCTTCTAAAAAGTCAATATTCTTTTATATCCCAAACAAATGAATAGAAACATTTATTTTATTTAATAATATCCCCAATGTATCTTCCAGTCATGCTGTCGAACATCTGTCTATTTTGAATGGCCCTGGGATATTATCTATTCAAAACATAGCTAAAGAGATGCTGTGAGTTGGGAAAAAAAAAACTGGGAGGCCAAATAATTCATAGTTGAGAAAGCTAAAATACACAGAGATTATTAAATTTTGTTAATATTTTTAAATTGTGAATCCACTAGGATCTTGTTATTCCTAGTATGGTCACTGGTGCAGGTAGCATTGACATCCTGTTTAGGATGGTAAAAAGACAAGAAATAGCCATTGTGTATGCAACTGACAGTGTTGATTTTTTGTGTTTTTTTGTTTGTTTGTTTTTTGTTTTTTGTTTTTTTGAGACGGAGTCTCGCTCTGTCGCCCAGGCTAGAGTGCAGTGGCTCTCGATCTCGGCTCACTGCAAGCTTCGCCTCCCGGGTGACAGTGTTGACTTTAAGAGGCATTGGTAGAAGTTACCAGCCCTGCAGGTCCGGGGAGTGCTGATGAGTAGTAACCACAGTCCCTAAGCCAGGAACTGTCAGCCACATGATGAAGACCCGGGTTCACGATTAACACCTCGGTAACCTCTGATGCTTTAGCAAATACAATTGTTCAGTGTCAAAATGGCCTTTCTTCTTAAAATGATGGTGATAGTAGATAATAGATGCAGCTTTCCTCCATTCCTTGGAAATGTAAAAGCTAGCCACCCAGTGTCAGCCCCTCATATTTTCATTAATAATTTCACTGGCCAGTGAAATTTCAAAATCAGGGCACAATTTTGTAAGTCTCAGTTATGACATTGACTGTCTCTCAACTAAAGTGTTTATTATTAACATGATTATGAAACTTTCAGAATGGAGGGAAAAGTTTTGAGAGCAATAGTAAGGAGGTTTTAAAGGTGAAAAATAAATCATGTCAACTTTCTGCATCTAACATAATAAATAATTTCACATGGATATTCCTTTCCAGTCTTTGTTCACATGATTACATATTTTAACACAGATATAATCATGGCATAACTGTAATTTTGAGTCCTGTTTTATTACTTTAGCACCATATTGTAAACATTCTCATTAGAATGCCATTCATACAAGAAGTGTTCAGGTGAAAGATATTAAAGCAATGAACCCCCTGAAAAACTGACAACCACATGAAAATTTTCAGTTCAAGTCCATATATTTTAAATCACTCAGGAATTGGAGAAATTGTTTCTTTTGCTTTAAATTTAGCTTTTATTGACAATCCAAAATCAGTAATCATGCATTAAAGCCCCTAAAAAATATGGCGCTGATTTTCAAAGAGAAGATATGCATTGCAAGAGGCAAATGGGCCTTTTGGCTAAAGAAGAAATTCTCTTCATTCTTTGCTCTTATTAGGGATTTTGTGATTATGCACATTCTGGTATTTGATGATGTTTCATGGATCTGTAGTATTAAAAAATTAAAATGGAGGCAACAGTTTAAATGTACCCCAAGTCCAACCACCCACAACCAGTAACTACATAGGCAAAACTTGTCATCCTGAAAAGCCAACTCTAATTATAAACAAAACACAAAACATAAGCTTTACACCCTCGTCAGAATGATTCAGTGAAATGAAACCAATCAGTTAGAGACAAATCAGCTTAAACAGCTCTGCTTGCCTTACAAAGAATGTTAATGTATAACAGCCAATTGCAAAAAAGGTCAAAACACTTCCTCCTTTATGCTTTATAAACTGTGCTGTAACTGCCATAAGCAGAGCTTCTAACCATCTTCACTTCAAAGTCTCCCAGTTGGCAAACATCCCTTTTGACTACACAATAACATTTTCTAACTTGATCAGGTTTTATTTTTGACAGTAGAAATATTTGACACATTAGGCTAAAATGAGATGTGTGTCTGTGTTCTAAATGGAAGAAATACTAACTATATCCAGTCATTCCAACTGATGGTCACGAGTGAGAAAGATAAACAGATAACAAGAGACTTGTGGCAAATGACATTTCCCTTTCTTTCCGTGCTCAGAGGTGCACAGGACATGGTTCCACCAGGATGCTGTATGTGGAGGAAAGAACCTCACATATGCAGTAACGATTCTGCTGCCCAGTTCCTGAGCTTCCTCAGGCTATCATCCTTAACATCTTATTCCCCAACTAGACCGTGAGCTCCTAAATCACAGGTGAGTGCTTTACTCTTCCTTGTATTCTAAGCTCTAACCATAGTTGTGAACAGTGTGGTGCTCACTAGATACTGACTGAATTTCTAAATTAATCATGAAACAAATTCCATGATATATTTTAAGACAGCAATACAGATGGCCCTCTGTATTTGTGGGTTCCACATGCATGGATTCAACCAACTGCAGATTGAAAATATTTGGGAAAGACAATAAAAAATAATATAACATTTAAAAAAATACAAATAAAAATAAAGTATAACAACTGTTTACATAGCAATTTCATTGTATTAGATGCTGAGTATAATCTAGAGATGATTTAAAGTACATGAGAACATATGTGTACATTATTTGCAAATACTACACCATTTTATGTAAGGGACTAGAACATTCATAGATTTTGGTATCCTTGGGGTCCTGGAACCGATCTTCCATGGATACCAAGGAACCACAGTATTCACTGAATGTTTTTTAAACCTGTGTTTTCTACCTACGGACCCTCTCGGAGATGCTTCCTTCATCAAAGGGCATATCTAATAAATTGCCTCTCTGATTCAATGGGGCAATTTGTTAAAGCAGAAGAACACTTTGAGACCACGAGGGCACCATTTCATCAATTACCCCTCTGCTTCCACTGTGAAAGCGTCAATGAGCATACTTACAGGCGTCATAAAACACCAAGTGTGTGGCTTCACTGGGGAGCTGTGCCATTGTCTCAAAACTAACTAGTCTAGATTAATTGTTGTGTGATAGGAATGGAGGAAACATTTTCAGAGGAGCAGTCACTCACAAACACCAATGATGAGAGTACTGACTGACACAACCTTTCTGGGGGAGCTGGCAATATGTCAGAAAACATCTTGGCGTGCACACACACGCACAAAAACGCACTTCCAGGAATTTGGTCTCAAGGAGTATTTGGGGAAATACATAAAATATTTTAAGTAATATTTACGGTAGTAAAATTTACAAATCTTTTATGAGAATGCTGATCATTTTAATATGTGCATGACACTGAGCTTCCTATAATCATAGAAACTCAGTGGGGTGGAGCGTGTACCTTTTCCATCCTAAAGACGTGTTTTCTATGCAAAGGGGGAATCTGAGAGATGACAGAGCCCTCATGAACCAGGATGTATCAAATGCTGCATTTGGGAAATATGAGGGAACACTGGGGTTTTCAATTACCAAAGCAACAACTTTTTCTCCTCTAAATTTCCAGACATCTACTTTTACCTAATAGCCAGGAAGTTACATGTTAACAGGATATTTGTTTGTTGCCATTAGACAAATACATACTATGCATTATAAATCAACATAAATATATATATGTGTGTGCATGTGTTACTGTATGTGTGTGTGTGTGTATATATATATAATATAAAACTTCTTTTTTTTTTCTTTGTTTTTGAGATGGAGTCTCACTCTGTGACCAGGCTGGAGTGCAGCAGCATGATCTCGGCTCACTGCAACCTCTACCTCCCAGGCTCAAGCAATTCTCCTGCCTCAACCTCCCAAGGAGCTGGGATTACAGGTGTGCACCACCACACCTGGGTAATTTTTGTATTTTTTGTATTTTGTATTTTTAGTAGAGATAGGGTTTCACCATGTTGGCCAGACTGGTCTTGTACTCTTGACTTTAGGTGATCTGCCCACCTCGGCCTCCCAATGTGCTGGGATTATGGGTGTGAGTCACAGCGTTCACCCTATATATAGCACTTCTGCAGGCAATTAAAAATAACTTTAAAAAGAAATAAGAAATGTATCTCTTTCGCATTATTTAAAGTTCTATGAGAATGGAACGTCTCTGACAGTCCAAACATTTTAACACCATTTTAAAACTAGCATCATCTTCTTTTATGTTTCTCTTTAAAATATTAGTTATACTATTACTTTCAACTCCTCTAATTGCTGTATTCAAGCTATGTTTGTGGTAACTATGATCTATAAAGCACTATATATGTAAGATGTTTTCCTGAATATATAAAAAGACCTGATTTTCATATCGAGGATTTTGCCATCTAATTTGCACAAATAAAACACTAGAAGAGTTTAAACCATACCTCCCCTACCCCAAAAGGAAAAATCAAATCGTAGACATCAACTTGTTTATTGTGAAAGCCAAGATTTAAAGAAAAACAAAAAGCAAAAACAACAGAAAAGCTGAAATAAATTTTGTTAGATGTTAGACATAATACGTGGGACTCTATCAACAATTCCATTGCAAGAGGAAAATCAAATTGGATGTATTTTTGATAAGATTTTTTCATTCTTAAAAGGCTTATAGTCACTTCACCCTATGAAGGTCTCAATGTACTTAATGAACATAAAACACATTTAATCATTCTTCCTATCTACTTCCAACAGTAAGGCATTACCTCCTCCAGCCATCAGGCCCAGAGTGCTTTCTCTCCACGATATTTTCCCTCTAATGTGGATACAGAATAGTCCAGCAAATTCCCCATTTTTCAGCCTAAGACAACTTAAAACAATTGACAAACCAACGTTTTGTTTCATGGTCCCTAGTAGCCACAGAAAGCACCCATTGTTCATCTTTGACTTTTCCTTCTGCTTCAGCCACGGTTGATCCTCTGCAGGGGGCAGTGAATGATGGTCCTCAGGCCAAATCTGGGGAATAACCTGCTTTTAATAAATATTTTGCTAAGAAAGCACATAACATAAATTCTACCATCTAACAATTAAGGATATAGTTCAGCAGTGTGAAGTATATTCACACTGTTGTGGAACACATTTCCAGGTATTTTTCATCTCGCAAAGTGGAAACTCTATGTCCATTAAACAACTCCCTGAAAAACTAAAACTCTGTATCAATTAAACAACTCCCCGTTTCTTCATTGCTCCAGCCCCTGGAAACCACAATTCTACTTTCTGTTCCTGTGAATTTAACTACTTTCAGTGCCTTGTATGAGTGGAATCATACAATATCTGTCTTCTTGTGACTGGCTTATTTTCAAGGTTAACTCAGGTTAGAGCATGTGACAAGATTCCTTCTTTTTAAAAGATGAATAATGCTCCATTCTATATGTATGCCCCATTTTCTTTACTCTTCCGCCCATGAACATTTGGGTTGCTTCCACTCTTAGCTATTGTGAATCATGCTACAATACACATGGCTATACAAATATCTGATATCCTGCTTTCAGTTCTCTTGGATATATATCCAGAAGCAGGATTGCTGAATTATATGATAATTCTACTTTTTGTTTTTTGAGGAATCTCCATAATATTTTCCATAGTGGCTGCGTCATTATACATTCCCTCCAACAGTGCACAGAAGTCCCAATTTCTGCGCATCTTCTCCAACCTTTGTTATTTTCCGTTTTTTCCTTTGTGGGTTTCTTAGTTTTTTAATAGTGGACATCTGAACAGATGGAAGATGATACCTCATTGTGGCTTTGTTTTGCATTTCTCTAATGATTTATAATGTTGAGAGCATAATTTCATATGCTTGTTGACAATTTCTTTGGAGAAATATCTCCCAAGTCTCTCACTCAAATTTTCAATTGGGTTCCTTTTTTGGTTGTTCTTGAGTTGTAGGAGTTTTAATATATTCCAGATACTAACCCCTTATCAAACATAATTTACAAGTATTTTCTCTCTTTTTATAGGTTGCCTTTCACTCTGAAAATCTAAATTTAATGCCATGAAACTTCTCTACTGTTTTCTTCCAGGAGTTTTATATTTTTAGGTTAAACATTTAGGTCTTTAATCCATTTTTAGCTAATTCTTAAACATAATGAAATATAAAGTCCAACTTCATTCTTCATTATTTTGCATGTGGCTATCCAGTTTCCCAACAATATTTTTTTAAAGAGACTGTACTTTCCCTACTGAGTAGTCTTAGTGCCCTTGAAGAAAATCATTTGAACATATATATGAGATTTTATTTTTGGACTGTCTATTCCATTAGTCTACATGCCTGTCTTTATGCCAATACCATATCATTTTAATTACTATAGCTTTATAATATGTTTTGAAATCAGAGAGTGTAAGGTCTCCTACTTTGCTCTCTTTTCTTTCAAGATTGTTTTTGTTATTTGTGGTTCCTTATGATTCTATATAAATTTTATAATTTTTTTCTATTTCTACAAAAAATGCCATTGGGATTTCATAAGGGACCATACTGAAACTGCAGATTACTTTGGGTAGTGTGGAAATTTTCACAACATTAAGCCTTTCAATCCATGAACACAGGATATCTTTCCATTTATTTGTGTCTTTAATTTCTTTCAGTAAAATTTTGTAATTTTTATGTATAAGCCTTTCATCTCCTTGGTTAAGTTTATATTTAATTATTTTATTCTTTTTTATGCTATTGTAAATAAAATTGCTTTCTTAATTTCCTTTTTGTATACATTGTTGTTAGCATGTAGAAACAAATGATTTTTATATGTTGGTTTGTACCGTGCAACTTTGCTGGACATGTTTGTTCATTCTGACAGGTGTGTGTGTGTGTGTGTGTGTGTGTGTGTGTGTCTGTGTGTAATCTTCAGGGCTTTCTATATATAAGATCATGTGACCTGTGAACAAAGACACTTACATCTTCCTCTTTCATTTGAACTACTTTTATTTCTTTTTCTACCCTAATTTCTCTGGCTAGGACTTTAAATACTATGAGTATCATTGACTTGTTCCTGATTTTAGAGAAAAAACTTTCAATTTTGCATCACTGAGTTTCACCACTGAGTTAGCAGTTGGCTTTTCACATACTATCTTTATAATGCTGAGGCTGTTTCCCTGTATTGTTAGTTTGTTGAGTGAGTTTATCATGAAGAGTGTTACATTTTGTTAATGCCTCTTCTGCATCAATTGAAGTGATATTAGGTTTTTATTAATCATTCTGTTAAGGTGATGTATTACTTTGATTTCCATATGTTGAATCATTCTTGCATTCTAGGAATAAATCTACTTAATCATGGTGTATAATCCTTTTAATGTGGTGCTGAATTTGGATTGCTATTATTTGGCTGAGAATTCTTATATCAGTATTTATTAGAGGTATTGGTCAGTACTTTCTTTTTCTTGTACTATGTTTGGCTCTAATGTCAGTGTAATACTGGTCTCATATAATGAGTTTGGAAATGCTTCCTCCTCTTCAATTTTTTTAAAGAGTTCCAGGAAAATCGGTATTAATATTTTTAAAATATGTGATAGAATTCTCCAGTGAAGCCATCTGATCTTGGGTTTTGTTGTTGTTGTTGTTGTTGTTGCTTTGTTTTGTTTTGCCAGGGGGAGGATTTTGATTACTGATTCAGTCGCCCTACTAGTTATAAATCTATTCAAATTTTTTATTTATTCATGATTCAATCTTGGTAAGCTGTGTTTATAGGAATTTGCTACATTTCTTCTGGGTTATCCAATTTATTAGCATGTAATTATTCATATGTTCTCTTATAATTCTTTTGAATGCTGAGGCATCAGTAGAAGTGTGTCCCTTCATTTGTTTTAGATTTCAGTCTTTTGAGTCTTCTTTCTTTTTTCTTTGTTAATCTAAGGGTTTGTCAGTTTTGTTCTTTTTGAATAAACAATTCTTTGTTTTGTTGATTATTTTCTATTGTTTTTCCATTATTTCTTTTATTGTCTATGCTCTAATTATTTTTCCTTTCCTTCTGCTAGCTTTGGGTTCCATTTGTTTGTATTTTTGTGAATTCTTTTTCAGAGTTCTCTCTTCTTTTTTATGTGAGCATCTATGGCTATAAACTTCCTTCTCAAAAGTGTTTTCACTGTCTCTGATAAGTTGTGGTATGTTGTGTTTTCATTTCACTTATCTCAAGATCTTTTCTTTTTTAACTTTTATTTTCAGTTCAGGGGTACATGTGCAGGTTTGTTATATAACTAAACTCATGTTATAGGGGTTTGTCGTTCAGATTACTTTGTCACCCAGAGTACCCATTAATTATTTTTCCTGACCCTCTCGCTCCTTCCACTTTCCATAATCAAGGTCAGTCCAGTGTCTATTGTTATCCTCTATGTGTCCATGTGTTCTCATCATTTAGCTCCCACTTATAAGTAAGACCATGCAGTATTTGGTTTTCTATTCCTGTGTTAGTTTGCTAAGGATGATGGCCTCCAGCTCCCTCCATGTTTCTGCAAAGTACATAATCTCATTTTTATATGGCTGCATAGTACTCCATGATATATATGTACCACATTTTCTTTATCCAGTCTACCATTGATGGGCATTCAGGTTGAACCCATGTCTGCTATTGTGAAGGGTGCTGCAATAAGCATACACATGCAAGTGTCTTTGTGACAGACTGATTTATATTACCTTAGGTATATACCCAGTAATGGAATTGCTGGGTCAAATGGTAGTTGTGTTTTTAGCTCTTCAAGGAATCACCATATTGTTTTTCACAATGGTTGAAAGCATTTACCCTCCCACCAGCAGTGTATAGGCATTCCTTTTTCTCCACATTCTCCCCAGTACCTATTATTTTTTGACTTTTTAATGGTAGCCATTCTGACTGGTGTGAGATGGTATCTCATTGTGGTTTTGATTTGCATTTCTCAATCAGTGACGTTGAGCTTTTCTTCATATGATTGTTGGCTGCATGTATGTCTTCTTTTGGAAAATGTCTGTTCATGACCTTTACCCACTTTTTAATGGAGTTGTTTGTTTTTTTCTTATAAATATAAGTTTATTTATAGATGCTGGATATTAGACCTTTGTCAGATGCATAATTTGAAAACATTTTCTCCCATTCAGTAGGTTGCCTGCTTACTCTGTTGGTAGTTTATTTTGCTGTGCTGAAGCTCTTTAGTTTAATTAGATCCCATTTGTCAAGTTTTGTTTTTGTTGCAATTGCTTTTGCCTCCTCATTCATAAAATCTTTGCCTGTTCCAATGTCCAGAATAATATAATTTAGGATGTCTTCCAGGTTTTTTATAGTTTTCGGTTTTACATTTTAGACTTTACCTTGAGTTAATTTTTGCCTAGTGTAAGGAGGGGTCCAGTTTCAATTTTCTGCGTATGGCTAGCCAGTTACCCCAGCAACATTTATTGAATAGGGAGTCCTTTCCCCATTGCTTTTGTAAGGCTCATTGAAAATCGATAGTTGTAAGTGTGCAGTCTTATTTCTGGATCCTCCATTCTGTTCCATTGGTCTATGTGTCTGTTTTCATACCAGTACCATGCTGTTTGGGTTACTGTAACTCTGTATTATAGTTTGATGTCAGGAAGTGTGATGCTCCCAGCTTTGTTCTGTTTGCTTAGGACTGCCTTGGATATTTAGGCTCTTTTTTGGTCTGAAGAATGTCAATGGTAGTTGGATAGGAACAGCATTAAATTGTAAATTTCTTTGGGCAGTATGGCCATTTTAATGACATTGATTTTTCCTATTCATGAGCATAAAATGTTTTTCCATTTGTGTCATCTCTGATTTCTTTGGACAGTGTTTTGCAGTTTTCCTTGCACAGATCTTTCACATCCCTGGTTAGCTGTATCCATTGGTAGTTTATTCTTTTTATGGTAATGGTAAATGGGATTTCATTTCTGACTTCACTCTCGGCTTGATTGTTGTTGGTGTATAGGAATGCTACTGATTTTTATATGTTGATTTTGTATCCTGAAACTTGGATAAGATTGTTTATCAGATCAAGGGACTTTTCGGCCAAGACTATGGGGTTGTTTCGATACATGATCATGTCATCTGCAAACAAGGATAGTTTGACTTCCTCTTTTCCTATTTGCATTTGCATGCCCTTTTTTCCTTTCTTTTGTCTGATTGCTCTGGCCAGGACTTCCAATATTATGTTGAATAGGAGCAGTGAGAGAGGGCATCCTTATTTTGTGCTGGGTTTTCTTTTTACCTTTCTTTTTTTTTTTTTTTTTTTGAGATGGAGTTTCGCTCTGTCACTCAGGCTGGGGTGCAGTGGCGTGATCTTGGCTCACTGCAAGCTCCACCTCCCGGGTTCATGCCATTCTCCTGCCTTGGTCTCTAGAGTAGCTGGGACTACAGGTGCCTGCCACCATGCCTGGCTAATTTTTTGTATTTTTAGTAGAGATGGGGTTTCACCATGTTAGCCAGGATGGTCTCATTCTCCTGACCTCAAAATGCTTCCAGCTTTTGCCCATTCAGTATGAAGTTGTCTCTGGGTTTGTCATAGACAGCTTGTATTAGTCAAGGTTCTCTACAGGGACAGAATTAATGAATATGTATATATATATGACTGTATTAAGTTTTAACTCACATGATCACAAGGTCCCACAATAGGCTGTCTGCAGGCTGAGGAACTAGGATTTCCAAATCCGGTCTAATTTCCAAAACTGAAGAACTTGGAGTCTGATGCTTGAGGGCAGAAATCATCCAGCACAGGAGAAAGATGTAGGCTGGGAGGCTTGGCCTATCTTGCCTTTTTCACATTTTTCTGCCTGCTTTTTCTATTCCAGCCAGCTGGCAGCTGATCAGATGGTGTCCACCCATATTAAAGGTGGGTCTGCCTTTCCAAGCCCACTGATTCAAATATTAATCTCCTTTGGCAACTCCCTCACAGACACATCCAGACATTGTATTCTTAAATCCAATGAAGCTGACACTCAGTATTAACCATTACACAGCTCTTATTGTTTTGAGGTATATTCCTTCAATACCTAGTTTATTGAGAGTTTTTAACTTGAAGTGGTGTTAAAATTTATCAAATGCCTTTTCTGCATCTACTGAAATAATCATGTGGTTTTTGTCTTTAGTTCCATTGATGTGCTGAATTATATTAACTGATTTCCATATATTGAACCACCTTGCATCCCAGGAATAAAGCCTACTTGACTGTGGTAGGTAAGCTTCTGATGTATGGCTGGATTTGGTTTGCCAGTATTTTCTTGAGGATTTTTGCATTAATGTTTATCACAAATATTGGCCTGAATTTTTTTGTTGTTGTTGTGTCTCTGTTGTTGTGTCTCATTTTTTGAAATCATTTCAGTAGGAATGATACTAGCTTTTCTTCGTACATCTGATAGAATTTGGCTATGAATCCATCTGGTCCTGGGATTTTTGTTTGTTTGTTTTTGTTTTTGTTTTGTTTTTGGTTGGTAGGCTATGTATTACTGAGTCAACTTCAGAGCTCATTGTTGAATTGTTCAAGGATTCAATTTCTTCCTGGCTCAGTCTTGAGAGGGTATATGTGTCCACGATTTCATCCATGTCTTCTAGATTTTCTAGTTTATGTGCATAGAGGTGTTCAGAATATGCTCTGATAGTTATTTGTGTTTCTCTGGGGTCAGTGGTAATATCCCCTTTGTCATTTCTAATTTTGTTTAGTTGGATCTTCTTTTCTTCTTAATTAGTCTACCCATTTTATTAAATCAACTCCTGGATTTGTTGACCTTTTGAAATGTTTTTCATGTCTCCATCTCCTTCAATTCAACTCTGATTTTGAATATTTATTTTCTTCTGCTAGCTTTAGGATTTGTTTTCTCTTGGTTCTCTGGTTCTTTTAGTTATAATGCTAAGTTGTGAATTTGAGATCTTTCTAACTTTTTGGTGTGGGCATTTAGTGCTGTAAGTTCTCATCTTAATATTGCCTTAGCTGTGTCCCAAAGATTCTGGTATGTTGTGTCTTTGTTCTTATTAGTTTGAGAGAACTTCTTGATTTCTGCCTTAATTTCATTATTTACTCAAAAGTCATTTGGGGCAGGTTATTTGATTTCCATGGAATTGTATGGTTTTGAGTGAATTTCTTAATCTTGATTTCTAATTTCATTCCACTGTGGTCTGAGAGAGTGGTTTTTATAATTTCAGTGTTTTGCATTTGCTAAGGAGTGCTTTGTATGCAATAATGTGATCAATTTTAGAGTATGTGCCATGTGGTGATGAGAAGAATTCTGTTGCTTTTGAGTGAAGAGTTCTGCAGATGTCTATCAAATCTATTTGATACAGTGCTGGGTTCAGGTTTTGAATATGTTTATTAATTTTATGCCTTGATTATCTGTCTAATAATATCACTGGGGTGTTCAAGTCTCCCACTATCAATGTGTGGGAGTCTAAGTCCCTGAAGGTCTCTGAGAACTTGCTCTATGAATCTGTGTGGTCTTGTGTTGGGTGCATATATATTTAGAATAGTTAGATCTTCTTGTTGAATTGAACTCTTTACCATTATGTAATGCCTTTCTTTCTCTTTTTTGACTTTTGTTGGTTTAAAGTCTGTTTTGTCTGAAATTAGAATTGCAATCCCTGCTTTTTTCTGTTTTCCATTTGCATGGTAAATTTTTCTCCACCTTTTTATTTTGAGCCTATAACTGTCCTTGCATATGAGATGGGTCTCTTGAAGACAACATATCAATGGATCTTGTTTCTTTACCCAGCTTGGCACTCTGTGTCTTTTAATTGGGGCATTTTTTGCCATTTTGCCATTTAAGGTTACTATTGATACATGTGGATTTTATCCTGTCATCATAATGTTAACTGGTTATTATTCAGACTTGTTTATGTGGTTGCTTTATAATGTCACTGTTCTTTGTATTTAAGTGTGTTTTTGTAGTGGCTGCTAATGGTCTTTCCTTTCTGTATTTAGTGCTTCCTTCAAATGCTCTTGTAAGGCCCATCTGGTGGTAACAAATTCTCTCAGTATTTTCTTGCCTCAAAAGTATCTTATTTCTTCTTCATTTATGAAGCTTACTATGGCTGGATATGAAATTCTTGGTTGGAATTTGTTTTTTGTTAGAAGGTTGAACATTAGCTGGCAATATTTTCTGGCTTGTAGGATTTCTGGTGAGATGTCTGCTGTTAGTCTAACGGGCTTCCCTTTGTAGATGACCTGACCTTTCTCTCTAGCTGTCTTTAACATTTTTTCCTACATTTCAGCCTTGGAGAATGTGTTAATTATGTGTCTTGCAGATAATCTTCTTGTGAAGTATGTTACTGAGGCATTCTGCATTTCCTGAATTTGAACGTGGGCCTCTCTAGCTAGGTTGGGGAAGTTCTCATGGATGACATCCACAAACATGTTTTCCAAGTTGCTTGCACTCTTTCATCTCCTTCAGGGACATCAATTAGATTTGGTATCTTTAAATAATCCCATATTTCTCAGAGGTTTTATTTGTTCCTTTTCATTCTTTATTCTCTATTCTTGTCTGCCTATCTTATTTCAGAAAGCTAGTCTTCCAACTCTGAGATTCTTTCCTCAGCTTGGTCTATTCTTCTGTTAATAATTTTGATTGCATTATGAAATTCTTGTAGTGTGCTATTCAGCTATATTAGGTCAGTTACATTATTTTCTATACTGGCTATTTTGTCTGTCCACTTCTGTATCATTTAATTGTGACTTTTAGCTTCCTTCAGTTGGGTTTCAACATACTCATGCATCTTAATGATTTCCATTCTTATCCATACTCTGAATTCTATTTCTGCCATTTCAGTCATCTCAGCCTGGTTCAGAACCTTTGCTGAAGAGGTGGTGCAGTCATCAGGGGGAAAGAAATCACTCTGGCTTTTTGAGTTCTCAAAGTTCTTGCACTTGTTCTTTCTCATGTTTTGGGGCTGATGTTTCTCTAACCTTTGAAGTTGCTAACTTTGGAAGGATTTTTCTTCATTTTATCCTATTTAATAAACTTGAAGGTTTGATTGTGGTATAAAGTGGATTCAGCCAACTGGCTTTGTTTCTGGAAGACTTTAGGGGGCCAGTGCTCAGCTCCCAAGTCCTGGACTACATGCTTGAACTCTGGGAGACTTATATAAGGCCCCAATTTTGTTGTCAGGCTCCTATAGGTTAAGAATCCACTGTGCTGGGGAAGGGGGCTGCTGACAAGGTGCTCCTGGACCAGTGGTCACTACTCTCCAATGAGTGGTGTCAGGCAAAGCATTTCAGAGTGCAGTAGCAGAAGGATACATCCTTGTTTGCATGTGCCAGCAGCAGCAGCAGCATGAAGAGGTACATACTCATTGGCTGCAGCAGAGTGCTCGTCAGTGCTGGGGTGCCTGCCTCTGTGTGGTCATTCACCACAGTGGAGTGGGCAGCAAGGTTGCAGGGTCCAGGGGGCTCCTGTCAGGGACCGTGCACTCGATTAGACTGATAGTGGTGTTAGCACAGGAGTAGTGGGGTGTTCAATATTTCCCAATTTATCTTGTGATTTCTTTTTTGACCCATTGTTTTTCAAAGAATGTGTTTTACAATTTTTTCATATTTGTAGACTTTCCAGTATTCCTTCAACTAGTAATTTCTAGTTGCATTGCATTGTAGTTGGAAAAGACACCTTGCATGATTTCAGCTTTCTTAATTTGTTAAGATTTGTTTTGTGACCTAAAATGTAGTCTATCCTGGAGACTGTCCCACATGTGCTTGACAAGAATGTGTATTCTCCTGTTGTTGGAAGAAATGTTCTGTACATGTCTGCTGGGTACAATTGGTCCACATACTAATACTCTTCCACTTTACATCTCTGCCTTCCCACCCTACACACTTTATGTTATTAATGTCACAAATTGCATCTTTTTATACTCTGCATTCATTAACATCAATTTAGAGTTATTTTATGCTTGTCATTTAAATTTTATATAAGAATAAAAAGTGTCTTATGCACCAACATTATGATACTACATGAATGAATATTTGCCTATATATTTATCTTTACCAGAGAGCTTTATATATTTGTGTGGTCTTGTGTTGCTATCTTATATCCTTTCTTTCAACTTGAAGGACTCTCTTTAGAATTTATTGCATACCAGGTCTACTGGTGATGAACACTCTCAGCTTTTGTTTATCTGGGAAAGTCTTAATTTATTCTTCATTTTCTGAAGGATAGTTTTGTATGATGTAGTATTCTTGGTTGGCAGGGTTTTTTCTTTCTTTCTTTCTTTCTTTCTTTCTTTCTTTCTTTCTTTCTTTCTTTCTTTCTTTCTTTCTGCACTTTAAAAAATTCATTGGCAATCTTGTAGAAGCTCCTTTGTGCAAGATAGTCATTTTTCTCTTGTTGATTTCAGTATTCTTTCTTTGTGATCTTTGGAAGTTTGATTATAATGTGTCTTGGTGTGGGTCTTTTGAATTTTTTGAGTTAGAGTTTGTTGAGCTCCTTGAATTTCTATGTTTATTCCTTTCCTCAGATTTGGGAAGGTTTTGGCCATTGTTTCTTCAAATAGTTATCCATTTCTTTCCCGCTTGCTTCTCCTCTGGGATGCTCATACTACTTGACAACATCCCTTAAGCCTTTTAGGCTCTTTACTTTTCTTCATTTTGTTTTCTTTATGCTCCTTTGACTTGGTACTTTGACCTCTTTGATAGATGCCCTGCTTTTGTAAATTAAAACTTTCTTAGAACACAGCTGTACCCATTCATTTATGTATTGCAAACCTTTTTGTACCTTTTGTGCTACATTGCCAAACTGTATCATTGCAATGATATATTGGCCCACAAATTTAAGTATGGCCCACAAGCATAAAATATTCTGGCCTTTTTCAGAAAAAAACTATCCTGATTCCAGCCTAGAAGAGTATATCTTGTCTACAAAATGACAGAGTATCTTTTGTAGAGGGTAAGCATTATAAGGATTCTGCTTCTTTCATCCCCAACCCATAGGCCATGGACCAGTACCAGTCTGTGGTCTGATAGTAACTGGGCCACACAGCAGGAGGTGAGTGGCAGGTGACTGAGTGAAGCTTCATCTGTATTTACAGCCACTCACCATCTTACATGATTTGGCCATGTCCCCACCCACATCTCACCTTGAGTTATAATAACTCCCACGTATCAAGGGCAGTTCCCCCATATTGTTCTCATGGTAGTGAATAAGTCTCACAAGATCTGATGGGGAGTTCCCCTGCACAAGCTCTCTTGCCTGCCACCATGTAAGACGTGGCTTTGGTCTTCGTCACCTTCTACCATGATTATGAGGTCTCCCCAGCCATGTGGTACTGTGAGTCA